GACTAGGTGCAGGTGGCCCTGCCTCTCACCCTGCATGCCCCCTGTGCCACCGTCCCCAGGGCACCAGACCTCCTGCAGTCCGCGGCTGCCTCCCAGCTTGGTGGGAGAAGCCGCCACTCAGAGGCCCCCCGGCTGTTGCTGCAGGAGACCCTTCGTCTGAAGGAGAAGGAGGGCTGCTCCCAGGCCTTCCACGCCCTCCTGTCCTGGCTCCTGACCCAGGACACTGCGGCCATCCTGGACTTCTGGAGGGTTCTCTTCAAGGACTACAACCTGGAGCGCTATGGTCGACTGCGGCCCATCCTGGACAGCTTCCCCAAAGGTGTGCCCGGCCCTGGGCTGGGCTCCTGGTTGGGTTCAGCCTTGTGGGGGGATTGGGGCAGCTGGTGTGAGGTGGGAGGTGTGTGTCGGGGCGTCTGGGAGGCCCTGGTGACCCCCCAGGACTCTTGGATTCTAAGAGTCAAAGGGCAGAGGACTTGTCCACCTTGCTCTGAGGATGTCCAGTCCTATCCTCCATGCCAAGGACAGGCTCTAAGGCCCTGCTCCTGCCCATGAGCTGCAGATGTGGACCTCAGCCAGCCCCGGAAGGGGAGGAAGCCTCCTGCGAGCCCCAAAGTCTCAGTTCTGCCACCCAGACCCCCCGCCAAGAGGAAGGCCCCGGAGGAGCCTCGAGCTGCCCCATCAGCAGCCCTGACCCCAAGGGGCACCTCAGGCCCAGGTATCCAGTGGGAGAGCGCCATGGTCACAGTCTCCCCTAGGGGTCCCCCCCCCTTTCTGGCTCCAGGGTGTCTGTCCCACCTGCCTGGGCACAGAAGCAGCCTGTCCAGGCTGCAGAGGCCTCTGGGCACTGAGAGCCATACCCTGGACGGTCCGTCTGAGTTTTAAGTGGTAAAGGGGCAGGAGGGTCTCATTTCCTTTCTACTGCGAGGAAACCAGAGCCCATACCACGAAGGAGCCCACAGGGAGTCAGGGCCAGCGCCTGACTCCACCTGCTGCCCTCCCACCTGGCCACCAGCATTGCCCCCCGGCCCCTGTGGAAGCCTCCTGCCCCCAGCTCTCCCTTCCAGGTTCCCACGTGAAATCCAAGCCAAAGAAGGCAGAGGGCCACGTGGAGCCACAGCGCCCCCCGCTGGGGAACGGTGAGAAGGCCGGACACAGGAGCCGGGGGCAACGAGGAGGGGGCGACACAGGAGCGGAGGACAGAGCTGGGGAGACAGGGAGGTAGGGCCCAGGGAGCAGGGGACACAGGAGCTGGGGACACAGGGAGCGGGGCCCAGGGAGCTGGGGACACAGGGAGCAGGGGACACAGGAGCGGGGCCCAGGGAGCAGGGGACACAGGGAGCTGGGGACACAGGGAGCAGGGCCCAGGGAGCCAGGGAACAGGGGGCAGGGGCCCAGGGAGCCAGGGAACAGGGGGCAGGGGGCCGGGGTTGGATGGAGGGGCTCACACCCGTGGAGGGCTGACTTGGGAGCAGGGCCAGGCTGGCCTGACTTCTCGCCCCACAGGCACATGTCGAGAGAGGGGACGCCTGGGGTTTTAACGTGACTTCTTTAGCCCCCCTCTGCCCTCCTGTGATCCCGTCCCCAAGGCCCAGACCCATGTGTGAGGGACACATCCTGCTCCTCACTGAGCGCAGCCCAGGACACCAGCCCACAGACGCCCTGTGCTCAGAGCTGCCCGGGACCGAGTGGGGCTCAGGAGCCATTTCCCAGGCGACAACCCCCATTTGGGTGGTCCCTTCCCCAGGAATTCAGACCCTGTCTGCTTCAGTCCAGAGAACTGTGGCTGTGTCCTCTGGGGACGTCCCAGGAGCCCACGGGGCCGTGGAGGGGATCCTCATCCAGCAGGTGTTCGGGTCAGGTAGATGCACGGGGTGGGGAGAGGGTGGCAATCGGGACCCTCCCCTCTGCTCCCTGGTGGTCCCAGAGTGGAGGCAGCCAGCTCCTGCACTGGCTCCGTGGGCTTTAGAGGGGCTGAGACGCTGAACTTCCCTGAGTGGGAGGGACTTCTGCCCAGCCAGCGGTCCAGGCCACCCCGGCACAGGATGCCCGTCGCCCCAGGTCACCTCCTCTCCACAGATGGGCTGGGACACAGGTCACACCCTCAGTTTACCCCATTCTCCACTGGGGATGGCCTGCAGCCTCGTGTCCTGCTGCCTCCGGTTCCATCCCTGCTCCGGTGCCGCCGGTGACAAGGTGTCCAGTCCCCTCCCACCCTGGCCAGGCCCTTCTCCTGAGCCCCAGGAAGCTAGCCAGTGACCTACCTACCAGGCAGCCAGTCTCTGGCTATCGGGAGCCGGTGTGTCACCTGACCAGGACCCAGCAGGGCCTACTGGTGGCAGACCACCAGGCATCGCATCATCCACTCCACTGTCCCTGCCACAGAGTTCTCTCTGAGCTGGACACGGGCTACACCAAGGACGGCCAGAGTGGGCCTGGGTCTCCCCATCAGGGGTGGTCCCCAGGGCCCTGTATGAGTGAGCTAGGGCTGTTACCATGACCACCAGACTGGTGGCCTCAACAGACCCCCAGGGGAGGTGTGGGCAGGGCCACACCCTCTGCGGGCTCTGGGAGGTCCCTCCTGTCTGGGGCTGCCCGTACCCCTGGGCTGTGGTGGCCTCACCCCGGGTTTTGCCTGTGTCGCATGGCCTCTCCACACCAGTCATTGGGTTTAGGGTCCAGGGTGACCTCATGTTATCAATTACATCTACAAAGACCCTATTTCCAGATGGGGATCTATCGTGAGGTTCTGGGGGCCAGTGGATGTGGGGGCCTGTCCAGTGTGGCACAGTGCCCGGCACCTGGACCTGCCTTGGCTGGGATGGGAGGGGGGTGGCAGAGGGGCAGCAAGTCACAGCTCTGCAGCCCGTCTCTGCCACACACCCCCAGGAGTGGCTGGGGCTGTGGGGGGCTGTGAGCCCCGACAGCTGGCGTCTCCTCCCAGGGGGCTCCAAGAAGTGCATCCAGGTTGGGGGCGAGTTTTACACTCCCAGCAAGTTTGAAGACCCTGGCGGAGGTGGCAAGGGCAAGACGCGCAGCGGTGGGGGTCTGAAGCCTCTGGTCCGAGCCCAGGGCGCCCAGGGCGCTGTCCCAGTAAGCACTGCCCTGACCCCCTGAGGAAGGCTGGGCCCCGGGGAGGCTGGGGTGGAACCCCTCCCCCTCCCCACCTGGCAACTGTGCTGCCCTGGGGCCTGGGCTCTGCTGTCAAGACGCACCTGGTGCCAGTGGCCACAGGTGCCCCTTAGTGCCCAGGGTCCCTCCACTTGGCCCTCTTCTCCCTTGCAGGGTGGAGGTGAGCAGAGGATTATCCAGCAAGACAGGATCCCAGTCCTTCCAGCCCTCCCGGGTGAGCCCCCACTGCACCAGGTAACGCCCTAAGCCGTGAGCGGAGGCCACCTCCCCTGGCCCCAGGCAGGTCCTTCTGAGGCCTCTGCGCTTGCCCTGGGCACTCTGGTGCCTGAAGCACAGAGGCCAGAGCTCCTGCCCAGGCCAAGATCTCCTCCCCTGCCCCTCCCCTTCCCGGCTGCGTGTTTTTCTGATAAAACACAAGTTTCAAGTGAGTCTGAAAAGTGAGATCCTCTTGGACTTTTGAAATCAGTGTTGGTCCAGGCTGCGTGAGCGTCTCTCGGCTAGGGGGTGGCGGGGACTGCTGCCAGGCAGAGCTGGAGGATCCTCAGGGGTGTCCAGCTGTCCTTGGCTCTCAGCACTACCTCTTGGTGAGGTGGACAGGTGTGGCCAGCGTCTGCCATCCTGGGTTACGAATCCCAGCATTTGGTTCCAGGCGCTCTGCTGGCCTTGGGCACCCAGGGTGGATAGTCCTGTCCTGCTCTGTAGCAGTGCCCTGGCTGTCCCATGCCCATGAATATTGCCTTGAGTGTGAAGGTCACTGCAGGACCAGCCTGGTGGCCTGGTGCTCCTGGAGGATGTGCTGTCCCTACTCCTGGCTGCAGGATGCGCACTACCCAGGCAGAGGCCCGGGAGGGTGGAGGCCCAGGGGAGGGAGCAGCAGGTGCCTGGGGCTGATAGGAGACTCCTGGGGGCCCCTCCTCAGGGGCTGCCTGAGGGTGGAGTAGAGGCCAGGGGGCCACCAGGAACCCAGGGGCCACGAGGGAAAGGGCTTCTTCAATGAGGGAGGGCCGGGCAGGTCTGTGTCAGAGCTAGAACCCTAGAGGTGGACAGGCGGTGGGCCAGCAAGAAGGCTGGGAGCGCCCTGGGAGTCCAGGTCCCCAGAGACGAGGCGCTGAGGCGGGGCCACTGCAGGGGAGGGGCTCTCGGGGAGGGTGCCCCCTCCAGGGTCTGCATGGCTCACTCTTGCCTGCGCCAGAAGAACGAGGACGAGTGTGCCGTGTGCCGGGACGGCGGGGAGCTGATCTGCTGTGACGGCTGCCCCCGGGCCTTCCACCTGGCCTGCCTGTCCCCACCACTGCGGGAAATTCCCAGGTGAGCGCGTCGCCTGGCATCATGGAGGCCGCCATCCACTGACCCTGAATGAGAAGACACCCAGAAGACTCTGGATCCAAGGGGGGAGTTGAGGCCCTCCTGGGGGGCTTTGGATCAGGGGCTGGCTATGAGCAGGGCCTGGGTTCTCACCCCAGGTCACCTGCCTCCTTGCTTGTCCACAGAGTTTACCCAGGTCCACAGGACCCCTGAGGGCAGCCATGCCCCAAGCACAGAGGCCCAAGGCAAAGGTGGCCAACCCATGCCCTCTGGCCTTAGGGGCATCCACCCCCTTCCTAGGCACCCCAGAGTCCTGCTCCCAGGTGGGCTGGGTAACACAGAGGCCACAGAGCCCCAGTCCCCAAGGGCTGACACTACCTCCAAGGGCTGGGGTCACTGACCATGCTGTGAGACCCTGACCTTGGTGGGGTGTGAGGCCTTCTCAGTCCACGTCTGAGCAGGGCAGTCTGTGGGAGGGGTGGCCCAGGGAACCCAGACCCGTTCTGCCCTGCGCTCCCGCTGGGTCTCCTCTCTCTGAGCCCCTCTGTCTCTGGAAGGAAGATCCAGCCAGGCCCTCCCTCCACCCCCTGGTGCTCACATTCTCCCTCTCCCCTTTGCCCTAACCATCGCCTAGTCCTGGGCATCATTCCCTTGTGGAAACGTGGGTGGACCAGCTGAGGGGGGCCCACCAGCTGAGCACCCTGTGTCAGACAGGCACAGACCACTGCAGGGTACTGGGCACTGGAAAGTATGGGGGTTCATCCAAGAAGCACTCGTAGCGTAGGGCACCCTGACCACGCTGGCCAAGGCTATCCCACTAGGGGTCAATATCCCACGTCTGGGCTCTCCAGCCTGCTCCATTTCTCCACCTAGAAAAGGACATGGTGGCTTGCAGAGGGCCGGCCTCCCTTGCCTGTGGATCTGGGAGTCCATCTATAGTCTCTGCTTTGTCTTGCATGCTTCTGACTGGTGGCCACGCGAGCAGCGGCACCTGGAGGTGCGCATGCTGCCTCCAGGGGAGAGTCCAGCAGGGCCTGCCCCAGGCTGAGGAGCCCCGGCCCCCAGAGCCACCTGCAGAGCCCACGGTATGCCCAGGCCTGCCCCCAGGCTGGGTGACCTTCCTGTGTCCTGCCCCTCGGGAGCCCTACCTCCTGGCCACCCCTGCGTGGGGCCTGCCCCAGGGTAGAAGTGTGCCCATCCCCTGCCTGATCAATTTGGCCCTATAATTGGCACTCTCCGTGAACTTCCTGCAGGGTCCAGGGCGTGGGAAACTACCCTTACCCTGCTCTGACGGGGCCTCAGCTCCGTCCCCCAGCACCCTTGGGGCGTCACTGTGACCACTGGTAGCACTCTCCAAAGGTGCTCGGAGCCTTCTGTTGCAGCAAAGCCCTGAGGCTGTGACCGTGCCCTGTGCATGCCCAGTGTTTTCTCTGGGGCCCTAAGGCTACGGGGCACCCTGTTCTCAGGTGGGGAAAGGGCCAAAGACCTTGTGGAGGGCCACGGAACCGGGACTTGCATCCAGGTCTCTACATCCCAGAACCCACTGTGGGGTTCTTCCCACCATGTCACCCCTTCCCCAGGCCCAAGTTCCAAGGTCCCTCTGGTCTCTGACTCCAGGAGGGGCTGAGCAGTGTCTTGCAGCCCCTTGGAGTGCTGACTCTTGGGTTCCAGGCCCCCCTGGGACTGCGGCCAGCAGGAGAGGAGGTGAGAGGCCTGCCCAGGGAGCCACTCCCTGCTGTGGACACCACTTTCGCCCACACACACCTGCTTGCGCCGACTCCCACAGTCACCCTGCCAGTGCTGGACCCTCCTGCCCTGTGCCCCTCCCTGATGAGTGCCAACCCAGAGGGGCAGCAGGTGAGTGAGGGGGCAGGGGGGGGGCAGGGCACTGCCTTGGGAGGCGGGTGGGCTAGGAACCTTCAGGGCAGTCGGGTGAACCTGAAATAGGAGAGCCGATTATGCCAACAGTGAAGCCAACCCTGCACACCTGAGAGAACTGGAGTAGGAATCAGGGGTTCAGAGTTTGGGGAGGAAGGAGGAAGCAGAGCGGCTAGGGGAGGACAATGGAGGAGGCTGCTGGGAGACACAGGCGCGCTGGGATGTGGAAGAGGGGGTGCAGCAGGGGCGACACATTCCCTGCTTCCAAACACCCACCCAACCCGGGAGCCGGGGCATCACCACCGCGCCCCTCTGAAGGCAAGACAGTGAGGACCCAATGGCTCCTCCCCGCCGCAGCCCCTCTGGCACCCCCCCCCAAAGGGGCTCTGGGCCAGCTCAGGGGCTCTGTGTCTGCAGGGCACAGCCTGAAGGTGCTGAGGTGTTCCTGCGCTCTGGGGACTTGGGGGCCGCCGAACTCACTATCTTCCAGCTGCCACGCGCAGCCTTGCAGTTTCCCTTGGGTGCCCCGGTCCCCTGGGGACTGACCTGCCATCTAACCCTGAGGTGGTCCTGAGGCAGGGTGCGGAGGGCCCGGATTCCCAGCCACCCGCTCTATCGCTCTTATGCAGGGTCCCGCGCTCGGCGCGCGGTGCGGAGTATGCGGGGACGGGACGGACGCGCTTCGGTGCGCGCACTGCGCCGCCGCCTTCCACTGGCGCTGCCATTTCCCGGCTGGAGCCGCCGGGCCGGGGTGAGTTGGGGTGAGTTGGGGTGAGTTGGGGTGAGTTGGGGGAGTTGGGGTGAGTTGGGGTGAGTTGGGGTGAGTTGGGGTGAGTTGGGGGAGTTGGGGTGAGTTGGGGTGAGTTGGGGTGAGTTGGGGTGAGTTGGGGGAGTTGGGGTGAGTTGGGGTGAGTTGGGGTGGGTGGCGCGGTCGACCCGGACGCGAGGGTTGGGGAGGGAGGGCCGGTGTCCCCACCGCAGAGGGCGCTCCGGACCCCACCCAGGCCTCTCCGCCCCTCCGCCAGCACCCGCCTGCACTGCAAATCCTGCTTCCGAGACCCAGGCCCCGCCGGGGAGGGAGCGCCAGCCCCCAGCCCCGCCTGCCCGCCCGCTGGGCCGGCCAAGGTCAGTGGGAAGGGGGGGGCGGTTACCGGGAGCGCATCTCAATGGAGACGCTGTACCCATTGACCGTGTGTTAGTTATTTTCATAAAGTATTTTTCATATAAATCGACTCTTTTGATAATTTAAATCTACTTAAAAAGGAAACGTCCTAAAAAATAGCAATTTTGAAGTCCTTGGATGCAGAGCTCGCCCATGGGCCTGAGGAGCCCTTGGTCCCCAGGGCTGCCCGGGGCAGGGGTGAAGGGACAGAGGGAGAAGGTCGTGGGTTGGGGCTGAAACAGGCTGCGATTCCGGTGCTGACCCCAGTCCTCCACGGAATCAGAACGTGGGGCCTTTTGTAGCCAGGGCGCTCAGAGGGCACAGTACCCGAGGTCCCAGCCAGCAGCTCTTTCTTCCAGTCCCCATGCCCCGCGTGATGTCAGACACACCAGGAGGCCTACACAGGAGCCTGCAGTGCTTCTGCCTCTGACCAGCCACCTGGGGCATCAGAGCAGGACTGCCCTGACCCCCGGGCTCCAGTGGACCCACGGCCTGGGCCAGCTCCCTGCTGTTTTACAAGTCTCTCCTGTCCCACGGGTGGGCACTGGTGTATTCAGGGACACCACAGAGCCTGCTGGGCCCTTGCTTCCTGGGTCCCCTCCCACAGGTGAAAGCAGCACCCACAGTCCCCAGGCAGACCCCTGGGTTGCTCCTGCTCCACCACCCAGGGCCAGCCCCACCTCTGGGGCCTGTATGCCCAGACCAGACCAGACAGAGTGGAAGAGCTGAGATTCAGCGATTTTGAGCTACAAACCCAGCAATTTCATGTGATTCAGCATCATGTGGGGCCCTCTCCTGCCTCACCCATAAGCCTGGGGATGGCTGGGGCCTCATCCCCACGAGCCTGGCATGCCTGTAGGCCACTGACCAGCTGGCGCCAGACCCCACCTTCTCTCTCTGGGCCTTGGGTCTCCTGGACACTTCCCAAAGTCCCAGAGGCCTGTGGAACCCTTGGGGGCAGGCAGCCCTGAGCTCACTTCTGCCCACCCTGCAGCGTGCTGCTGCCCCAAGGGTTCAGCATTAGAATCTGCTCTTGTGCCCACCGCGGCAGCGCCCCTGGCCCCCAGGCCTGCCAACTCTCTGGGGAAGCCTGTTTCTGTGTTCCCAGCAAAGCTGCAGGTGGGGCTGACTCTTCCCTCTCTGTTCCAGGCAGGAGATGACTCTGCAGGTCAGGAGCCAGTTCTGCACAGGGATGACCTGGAGTCCCTCCTGAGTGAGGTAATGGTCACCTGGCCTGGGAGATGCCCACTCCTCCTCCACTGCCCCCACCTCAGCCAGGACCTCAGTCCCCACGTGGGCAGTAGGAGCATTGCAGGCAACAGGGCTCCTCAGAGTGGAGGTGAGGGTCATCCCTGCCCCTGCCAGGCCCACACAGGAGTCCCAGGGCTGCCACCCCACATTGAGCCCTCCCACTTCCAGCAGGCACACTAGGTCATCAGCGCCAGGACCCCAGAGGCCCATGGCCCACGGGCTCTCAGCACCAGCTCATGGTGCTGCAGCCCACCCTGTTCCCCAGGGGCACTGGGGGAGGTTGGACCCAGCGCCTCTGTCCCTCTCTCTCCCCTCAGCCCGCTGCTTCCTAGGAGGAGCAGGTGGGTTTCCTGGGAAGAGCATCTGTTTTTCCTCTAGTTGCTCCTCAGAGTCAGCCTGGTCCTTCAGGTTTCCACCACCCACCTGCCCTGTGTGGTGGGTCATACACAGCAGACCCCCACACTGCAGATGTCTGAGACTCCAGGTCCTGAGAGGGACCGGTGACTCAGGCCCTGGATGAGGGTGTCATGGTTCTGAGGCGGGGCAGATATTTGGGGAACTGGAGGGCCTCCCCGGACTCCCCAGTCCTGTTGGAGCATCAGACCCCTGAGCGGAATGAGGAGGGACTGGCCCTGCCTCACCTCAGGGAAGAGGCCACCCAAGAGGCCCTGCTCTGAACTCAGCGAGGAGCACTGGACAGGGAGTCTCCTGCTGCTGGCAGTGGTCCTCCTCCCTCCCCTTGACCCAGAGGGTGTGACTCGGGTGGGGCGGGGCGGGCAGTCCTCTCTGAGGACCCACCAGGGCCTGTTGTCTTGCAGCACTCCTTTGAGGGCATCTTGCAGTGGGCCATACAGAGCATGTCCCGCCCGCTGGCCGAGGCGCCCCCGTTCTCCTGATCCAGGGAGGCCCAGGACCCCGTGACCCCGTGGCGGATGATCTGAGCCTGCACTCACACCGTGGGCTCTTCTCAGAGGACAGAGGGGCACATGTGCAGGCCGGGCTGGGGCCAAGAAGAACTAGAGAGCTCCAAGTGCTGGCCATGCTGGCCGATGGGGGACACAAGACCATCACGTGTCCTGAAATTAAAACCGCTTCTGTGGGGCTTGGAGGTGCTGCCCTGCCTTGGTTTGTGGGGTGGATTCTTGCTCCTGCAGTGCGGCCCTGCGGCTGGAAAGTCCCAGCAGAAGCCCACAGGGAAGGGAACAGCTCCCGTGTCCCTGCAGCAACGTCAGGCCCTGTGTGGCCCCCAGGCCCGTGAGGCCCGGACGTCACACCTCTACCTCACCCCCAGCACCCTCCCGGTGCCTCAGGCCTCCCTCCTAAACTTGGATGGCCAAGCTCAGAGCAGCCGGGGGATTGTGTGGCGCTGCTCTCCGCCCGGTCTCCTCCCTTGGGGCTTGCTCGCTCGCTCACTCGTGCGGGGAAGCCTGTGTGCACACCTTCTATGTGCAGAACGCTTCCCAGGCCTTGGGGTCCCAGAGGGGGATTCCGTGGAGGGCAGTGACCTCACCAGGGGTGACTGCTGTGAAGCACAGACCAGAGCGGGGCCAGAGAGGACGGGGATCTGGGCTGGAGCTCCCAGGCGGGGAGAGGAAATGGGGTGGATCCATCTGGGCACAGCAAGGAGGGGGCCTGCCCTGCTGGAGCCTGCATGGCCTGTCTGCAGGACAGACACGAGGTCATGGGTTGGGCCAGCCCGCCACCATGGGAGCGGGGACAAGGGGCCAGTGTTGTGCTTTGTTTTATCACAGTGCCTGCCCTGGCACTTGACTTCAGTCCTGGTTCTGACTGACTCCTGCCGGAATGTGGCTTGGGACAGGGCCTTGCCCAGTTCCTGGACACATCCCAGGTGGAGGTGATGGCAGAACCTTGGTAACATCCCACCTGCAGACCCTGTGACAGAATGCCCAGATGGGCATCAAAGACCCTGGGAGGGACTGGAGGGCCTGCAGGCCTCGCCGTGCATGGCGTGCAGGGCTGGGACACGTGCCCTGACATGGGCCACGTGGCTTGTGTCCTTGTGCCGGCCCTGGAAGGGCTCAGGAAGGGAGCCACAGCTAGAGGTGAGAGCAAGGACACTCAGTCCCCTGGCTCTCAGTCCGCCACCCCCAGGGGCCACCTCTCTTCACAATCCTTGGGGGCGAGATGGAGAGGCCATGGAGAAGGTCGGAGCTATGTAGTACTGTCCACCAGTGTCCACACTACCCTCCCCGGCCCAGGAGGCCCTCCAGCCCCTTCCCAGGAGTGCCTGGCCCTCCTCTCAGCTCAGGGAGTGCCGGCTCCACTGGGGTTCACTTGGGGGCCCTGGGGACACCAGAGAGCTGGCTCCCCGAGTTCCTCTGTAGGAGGGGGCTCAGTGGGCCTCCCCGGGCCCAGTGCTCCCCTTTCTTGGGGCTGCTGGTCCGTGCGCCTGCGCTGTCTCCTCCATGCAGCCTGCTGCTCTAGGGGACCAGCAGAGTCCCAGCCTCTCTGAGTCCAGCTGCAGTGGGCTCCGCGGGCCAGCTGGGGTTCCCCACCAGCACTGTTCAGTCCTGTGAGAAACCCCAAGAGTCCTGCTCAGGGTAGGCGTGGGGGGAGGTGCAGGATGACCCCCGCCCCTCTGGACCCTGGGCCAAGGAGGCTGCGGTGGGCCTCTCATGGACTTCGCTGCTCTTGAAAGTCCCCTACTGCTGGTGGCCAGTGTGCCTCATTTCATAATAGTGTCACCTTAGCACTTTAAGAAGAAACAAAAATTGCCAAGCCTCCTGAGGGAGCAGCTCAGCAACAGAGCACTAACATCTGCAAGGGCCTGGGTTTCATCCCCAGCACTGGAAAAAGGAAAAGAGAAATCAAAGCCTCCTGACTCTGAGGCAGGACCGCGGCTGGGCAGCCCTGGCTCGCTCTCCACGCTGCAGCCCCTGGTGTCCGGAGTCTACTTGTCCTGCCTGTCTGTCCACCATCCAGAGCCCAGAAGGAGGTCTGCCCGCGACAGGCCCCCGTGTCTGCGACTGAGCTCGGGGCAGGTGCCGACGTGGTGGAACGAGCTGGACCTGCAGGCTGTCCATCTCAGAGCCAGCCCCCACCTGTGGCTGGGCCCACTGTGTTGAGCTGCCCAGGGCCACAGCTCAGGGCCTCAGGGCCTCGGGTCCCAGGTGCCCATCTCTCTCCATTCTGGAGGCTGCACTCGGAAATCAAGGTGGGGAGGCGGCCTCTCTGCCTTGGCTTGGAGATGGCGGTGTCCCTCTGTGCCCCCACAGGATTGTCCTTTCTGTGTCCTGATCTGTTCTTAAAAGGCCAAGACTGGGTCAGGGCCCACCTGGTGGCTTCATTTTATCTTACATCTTCCATAGTTGCATTCTGAGGGGCTGCGGGACTCTCTTGGACCACACCTGAGTCAGGTGAGTTCTTGACTTGGCCTTGATCTTGGGCTCTGTCCCTGGCCCTGTGGTCCAGTTTTAGCGAGAGCTCTGCACAGTCAGTGTGGAGTCTGTCACCGGGAATCGGATCCCCCTCGTCCACGGCTGATCACCCAGCTGCCTTCTCAGGGGCTGTCAAGTGAGCGTGGTCAGAACCCTGCCCTTGAGTCTGCTCGAGCTCCCGCCACGCCCCTGCTCCTGGGCGGCGAGTCCTTGCTGGTCCTTGGTGTTTGGAGCTGAGGGTCCTCTCCTGCCCCTGTTGCAGACACCACTGCAGTAGTCTGGGCTTGCAGCCCTCATCACAGGAGAAATGCCTGATCAGAGCAGCGTAGAAGAGGAAAGATCTGATTGGGGTCAAGGTTCAGTTCATGGCTGGCTGGTGCATGGCTTTGAGGGGAGGCAGAGCTTCAGGGTGGAAGGTGCAGAAGGAAGCAGCTCACTGTGGCCTGAAGGGGGTGGGGGGAGGAGGCAGAGGTGAGCTACCTCCAGGTCTCACCTCCACACAGTTTCCACTCCCTCCCCAGATGCCATCAAATTATCATCCATCAATGGATCACTCCATCCATGAGGTCGGAGCCCTCAAGACCCACACTTCCCAAGAGCCCCCTCTGCCCGCTGCTGCCATGGGGACCAGCTTTCGACACACCGGCCTTTGGGGACCTTCCAGACCATAGTATCCCTCTAGGAAAAAGTCTGCCTGGTCCAGCACTGTGAGTGCTTCTGTAGCAGTGGACACAGTTCAGCCCACGAGGCCTACAGGACTCCTCTCACCCCAGGAGACCGCTGTGGGCTAGGCCACGGGCCCTCAGCTGTCTCAGCCCCGATGTGTCAATTGTCATCCTGCCCAGGACACCGTGTGGGACGGTCAGGTTCTGGGTCAGCGAGCCCCATGGGGCTCAAGGAAACTCAGTTATTTCTGGAGATCATTAGAGTCCAGATGGCAAAGCAGGGCTGGACTCTTGGCTGAGAAGGTTGGCTGGACTGAAAGCACACCTGTCAGCCCCGCCCTGTAACTGAGCCCCAGATCCCCAGTCTGTTAACCTTAAGGCTGTTTTGAAAGAGGCCTCTCAGGACCAGGGCCCCCAGGGGCGGGGCTGTCTGTATGCAGACTGAGCCTCAGGTTCTCCTGTCCATCTGAGTTTTCCCTACATCTGCCCACCCGCACCCTGGCTCTGAGCTGCAGGGTGGGCAGAGCCACTGGTCCACAGCGAGGCGGCCCAGGTGAAGGTCATCCTTGGCCCTACCCTGAGGAAGTCCCCAACAGGCAGCACTCCCAGGTGACCCCCAGTCCCGCCATCTTTCATCGTGTTCCCCACTGCCTGTTGTGGGGTCCTGCAGGGACCTTCACAGGTGCTGGGTGGGGAGGGGCCCTGAGCCCTCTTGGGTCCTGCTCTACTTGGGCACACAGGTGACATTCTCCAGAGCAAAAGGAAAGACAGCCAAGAACAAAAACAAACCCCATGTGGGCGTTTCCATGTTGCAGGGGGAAGGGCAGAATCCCCAGGCGCTCACAGCCCCTCCGGCTCCTCCCCTCAGCAGAGCCCTGCCCTGCCCGACTCTGCCTGTCCTCCAGTGTCCCCACCAGACCACGAGCCAGGGGCATGAGGGCAGGCTATCATGGGCCCCGAGAGGGCGTTCCTGGTGGATGAGAAGTGGTACACAGGACATGTCCCAGACGCAGGCCAAGCTGGGTAGAAGGCCGAGGTGCCCAGGCAGCACTGGGAGGTGGACCCCGACATGGCACTTGGTTGTGGGGTTCACACATTCTGAAAACTTGGTTCTGCCACTTATTAAAAAAATTTTTTTTGATACTAGGGATGGCACCCAGGAGCGCTAAAGCACTAAGGCACATCCTCAGCCCTTTTTATGTTTTACTTAGAGACCAGGTTTCAGGAGGTTGCTTAAGGACTTGCTAAATTGCTGAGGCTAGCCTTGACCTTGGAATCCTCCTGCCTCAGCCTCCTGAGCTGCTGGGATTACGGGTGTGCGCCACTACACCCAGAGGTTCTGCCTCTTTTGGAAAGGAACATCACGTTGTGTGCCAAAGCCTGGGGATGGCTGTGACTCTCAACAGCAAGATTGCAAGCAAGGGGAGGGGGACGGAGCCCTCGCCTCTCTGCAGGCCAACAGGCCCAAGGTCTGCGAGCAAGCATCAGGGTGCAGTCACGCAGGGTCTTTAAAAAATGCGGCCCAAACCCGGAGCCCTGACTGTGAGCTGCAGGGAGGAAAGGGTGGTGCTGGGGTTCCACAGAGAGGCTGTGCACACACAGGGCAGGGCCAGGTCCACCCCGGGCAGCAAGCCTCAGGGCACTGAGGTCCTTGGCTCTTCCACATTCCAGCCTTTGTTCTGCTTCTACACCTGAGGTTGGGAGTGGCCCAGATTCTTATCTGACTCTGACTGAAGTTCCTTTCCTACCTGTCCTGCTGTGTGGTGAGGACAGCTGGGCTCTGGCCACCTCCTGGAGCTGGGTGGGCCTTAGCTGCTAGGAAGCAGGTGGTGCAGGACAGCGGCTCCCAGGTGAGCCCACCCGATACCAGGGGCACTACAAGGGCCTCGGCGTGGCCTGCGTCTGTGGGGTTGGACCCGAAGAAGGCTGGCTCACAGGCTCTGAAGACAGGGTGACTGCAGGGAAGGACCCAAGGAGGGAGACAGCTCAGCAGGAGCACAGGTCTACAGCACTAAAGTGCCTCCCAGGGCCCACGAGGCTGAGCCCTCTTCACTTGGTCTCGG